CTCTAACCTTCGTTCTCCCTAGGCCGTCAACTCGCCTGTCGAGCTGGCGGTCCAGATAGCCAGATCGCTAGGCGACCTGGCGGTCCAGTCTTAGTCACGTGATTACATACAAGAGAAATCCCTGGATCGCTTAGCTACTCCAAACGATCCCTATTTGCTATAAGAAACCTGGATGTGCCTGTCGAGGGTTGCGCCTCTTATTATGACAAGTATCACGTGAGCACGTGATTCGTGACAATAGCTACCTAATATACTAGCTACTTTCTTATTATATATATATTAAATAATAGAACTTCTTTTTAATAAAACCTTTATTTTTCTTAAATAAACTTTTTTATATAATATACTCTTAACGTACTCTATTAACATACTTATTTAAAAGAAAAACGCGTATATAGTATAAGTAGTACTTAAGATTATACCTAGTATAAGACTTAAGAAAAGTACTAATCCTAGAAGATAAGTATATAAAAATACTTTCGACTTCGACTTAGTTAATACTTAGAATCTAATACTAATATCTCTAATAAACCTTAAAACGAATTTAATAAATTATAATATCTAAGAATACTTATTATAAGTAGCTATAAACTATAATAAGGCCTACCTTCTATTCTAGCTTATATAGTACCTAATCTCTTATAATATAGTAAACGAAAAGGTAAATTAGTAATAAGATATAAAGGAATACTACCTACTATTTAAGTATTTCTTATATATCTTTAATAAGAAGAACTAAATTATTAAAAGAGATATTTTATTTTAATTTTATTTTATTGCTATTTAACGTCAAGCGGAGTCTAGCTCGCGTGGGCTAGGTCCTAGAAGAGTCCCAATATGGGCAAATGACGCTAGGGGGGTGCCATAGGCTACAGGGGGTGTAGAAGAAGAGACGCTAATTTACAAGAAACAGTTTAAAGAGAAGCCCCACTTTCGGGACAGCCCTTATCCTTAATTAGTTTTGAGAACCAGGGTACAACAAATGAAATACATAAATCAAAGAAAGAAAGAAAAGTAGGCCAGCCTATCTAGGTAGACAAATCTTAGTGAAGAATCTAGTCTTAAAGTAGACCTTGTTAAATAGCTCCTCGCAGCCGGGGCCGAAGAGCAGCTGAGGGTTCCTCTGAGCTTCTGCTAGTAGCCTAGGGGCTACGTTGTTTGCTAGCCTACAAAAGAGTAGGTATTAAAAGAGATATAATTATTACTTTTACAATAACTTAGATAAAGAGCTAGGTTAGTATAAAGCGAGAAGAATACCTAGTAATACCCTAGTATAGCTAGGTAGTAGTTATCAAACGTAAGCTACTAAGTAGACTATAACTCCTTATCCTTAACTCGAACGTAAATATTAAGTACCCTACTAATAAAAATAACCCTAATAAACCTAATTAGTTTACTAAACTACTTAGAATATTAAAAAGGTTTACTAAGTACCTCTATAATAAGCGTAGTATAAAAAACCTTCATATCTAGATTAGTAGATTAGGTAATATAAGAAAAGTAGGTAGGTGTTTTTAATTCTCTAGCTACTAGATTTAGAAGCTTATAAGTAATCTTACCTTCCTTAAACAAGTACTCTAGAACCCCCTATATCTAAGGACTATAAGCTTTAAATAAGTAACCTTTAGTAAGTAGAACCCCTACGACTATACTAATAGAAGGGAACTTCTATTACTTTATAAACTCTTTAATCTCTAACCTATTGTCACGAATCACGTGTAGCAATGCATGTGACAAAGGAAGACCAGGCGGCGTCCTGACAGGTTAAGCACATCCATGGACTTATAGCAAAAAGGGATCAATTAGACTAGCTAAGCGATCCAGGGATTTCTTCTGGTTAGAAAATCACGTGATCTAGTCGCCTGAGTCGCCTGAGTCGCCTGTCGACTGAAGCGATCAGGGCGAGCGACTAGAGCGATCAATCAGAGAACGAAGGTTCTATATAAGACTGGCACGTCTGCCATTAGATAGGAGCTTCGTGCTCAACTTAATTATCAATCTTATCATATTAGTTTGACATCTTTGATACAAGTAACGAGTTCACTTCCAAGTGAACAACCCGATAGTCTTCTTCTTATCATAGCATACCAACCAGCGAACACCCAGCCAAGTTTAGTTAGCCAGTTTGAGTATTCGTTACAATATACTTATAACAATATAAGAAGAACTACTTAGACTAGTAAGATAATAATACTATTTGCTTTCTCTTTAATGATAAGGTTAAAGAACCTACCCTGGAGGAATTAGGAATTAGTAACTATACTATAAATATAGTAGATACTAAGTAGTAAATTAATTACTAAAGAAGCTAGAACTATTTATTCTTCTTTAGCTTTTATCCTTTAAAGGTTTTACTAAAGGTTTATTAAAGTTTAGATTTAGAGGTAACTTAGTTTAAGTAGGAGTATTAAATATCAGGTTACGTAAGAGACTAATGTGGGTCGTACTAAACCTCTGTATATATAAGTAGGGAGTAATCCCCTCTAGATTACTCCTTAAGTTAATTAAATATATCGAACACTCATATCACCTTTTCAACACTCTTAAGATCCAAGAATCGGGTGGTTTGCTCACTGTTCTTCACTAGAGACACACTATATTCCTCTTCTGTCTCGTGCCTCTTTGCAAGGTCTCCCGAGAGCTTTGCATCCTGGGTCCATGAGTTGTTAGATGATGCCGCGGTTCTGTATTCAGGCTTGTAGTCGAATCGGGTTGTGAACCCATTTGTGGTCTATTGAATGTTCTTTGGGAATGTCTTCTAAGTAGATATCTGGGGAGTGGAGGTGTAAAATTGTTAGGCCCGCTATGAGGGTGGGTTCTGTTGGGGTCGTGGGGGGTGGTGTTGAAGCAGGATGGAGGGATGAAATGGAGGCAAAGAGGGAAGTGAAGAATTAGAGATGCTCTTTTTTGCTTAGGGGCACGATACGGAAGTAAAGATAGGGCTTGCTATTTCTGTTTGTTTGGCTCGCTTACTGGCAACTGCGGGGTGCAGATGATCTTACAAGTAGTGGTGAATATGTTTTCTTTAAATGCTTGGGCTGGCTGTCGGTAGAGCTTTAAAAATCCTGTGGAACATGGTAATGGGCAAAAACATGGTAATGGGCAAAAAACAGAAACAGATCTCAGCGAGTCTCCGCTGTCTCCTGGAGCGACTTGTAGGTGCTGTTCTTCCGTGTTGATTGCCCTTATACTCGGGCTACCAACGTAGTTACTGTATAAAAGAGGTCTTGAACTTTATGACTGCAATATCTTTTCGGTTCTTCGGAATAGTAAGAGAATATTCTGCAATATTGGTTTCTTTTTCCTGCTCTAACATTCTACGTAAGCTCTTGTTCTGTTTGTTGAAGTAGGTATAGGATGGATAGATATATCGTTTCCATGATTTATATCGTTATGAATAACAAAGCAGTTTGTACCTTTCTTCGAGATTATGCCTCTTTATCCTAAGCCGCGATTGCATGATTTGACATGATAGTGGTTACTAATGTCACGAAAATGGAAGGATGGTGTTCCGCAAATGATGAATCCAATGCTTGGCAATTTTCCCCTCCTCTAAAGCTGCATCATATCAACATTTTTCCTTTATGGCCAACACTACCCAATTCTGTGATCACTCCGGCTCTCTGTTTCTTGTATCACTATCAGGTTTCATGGGCCAAAGTCATCTTCTGGTGCAAGTCGACGCGATGGATGGTCCTCAAACTCGTGAAGGCAAAACCAATGAGAAGTTCCAATACGACGAAATCCCATAGCTCTCCAAAAGCCGATGGCCCTGGCCACGTTTCCATTGTAAATTGCCCCTTTCTCTCCTTCTGGTCTCTGATAATGAAGAAGAGAACTTGAAGACTCTGGAGAATCTCCAAGTTCGGTGGGCCAGGTACACGAGAAACATGCCCCTCTCTTCTCAGCTTCTTGAAGAATGACCTGTACCATGTATCTTCCAATACCTGCTCTCCTGTGATTTGGATTTACTTGAATATTCTCGATCACCAAAAATGGGTAGAGGAAATCCTCAACGTCCCACACGCCCGTACCCTTGTACTGCGATGAAACCCATTTGGGCTTGAGATGTCCGTTTTTGGTGAAGATGGTGGAGGCAAGATCTCCGCAGTCTTGGCTGCAGGCATCCATTGTATCCCAAAAGCTGTCGAGGAATCGGTCCCGACGCAAGAGGCGAGCTTGAACCGTCCCCAATGATAAATTGTTGATGGCACATTCTACCCTCAATACCTTGACGCCCTCTAACTCGTATTCATCACGAACATAGAAAGTGGTTTTCACCCCGCGAAGAGAGGCCGTGAAATTCACGGGGGTCAACCTGGTAGTTTGGCCTTTGTAATCCAGTTCTGTGAATTGTTAGCGGAGAGCATAAAGCTCAAAGTTTGTGAGATAGTATAAAGGCCTGAGATTCTGCAGTTTAAGAGGACTCTTACCCTCGTCAATGAATCCTAGATCCTCATCTCTCTCCAAGCTGGTGGCCTCTTCTACCTCTTCGCGCGCATATATCGTTTGATTTGCATACATCCATTGCATAGAAGGGATATCCAAAGGTTTGGCTCCTGGGTGTCGTTGTTGGAACTCGATGTCCTTCTTAGTCAAAGCCTCATGGAAAGACTCGATGGAGATGTCCAGTACAGCCATCACAAACAAGGACCTCTTCCAACGAAGCTCCGCCCGCATGGGAGGAAATGTCAATCCATGCTCCCACATACATGCTTGCCACTTATAGTTGGTGGTACCCCATCCGTGAATCTCCTTCAATCGACGGAATTCTGATCCCCAATGTAATGGTTCTCTTAGGCATGTTACCGTCACCGCGGCAATGAGTTCGACTTCAGGTGGGATCATTGCGTGTTTCTAGAGATACAAAACTGTCGGAATCAATTGTAGATTGCGGAGGTGTTGATATAAAAGAATCCAGCGAAGTGGGGTTTTGTAGAAGCAAGAAGCCATGGCCAGGTGCTTTCATAATAAGTACAGTCCCCAAGGCTTGCCGCAGATGAGGTGAATATTGTTTTAAAATTGATGATTCAAACTATGGTATTCAGCTAGTATGACCTAACATTTGCACAAGCTATGACCATATTAAACAGGAGGTGCAAAATAGTGCCCCCCTTTTCGGAGTTCCGTTAGCAAAGCCTCTTGTCGCAACTAAGCGCCTCAACAGATCCACTTATCTTGTTGAAACTTGGGACCTATGGTCGTCCTGGCCTGGGGCAGGATAGAATAGATGCCTTCAGAAGAGGCAACCAAAAGCATACTCCGCTGGTCCTTCAGACGTGACCCTGATCTTCCAAAGACGCCTCACAATCCAGCCAGAGAACTGGCTAACAATGACCAAAAAAACCTCAGCCTCGATCCAAAAAATGGCAAAAAAGCCTCCTACCAGGTTTAATAACCAGACGAACTGAGTTTTTGATTTTTTTCTCCAGTGTAGGGCCCCACCTACACGATTGTCTTACTTCCTCGTATGCGTATGCGTATACGAAACAGTTAGTGTGCGTGGCGCATATGGGTTTGATCACACACTAACTGACTGGGCCAGGCGAGCAGGTACCAGTTTTGGTGATGGTGATTGTGGTATTTGGGGATATCAATCACATTTGTTGAGTTTTGTGGGGATTAGAGTAAGCGAAGGCATTTGATTGGTGGAAATACTTCGGGTATTCCCTGGGGCTTTGAGGTAGGCGATCTGGGGAAGATGATATGGCGAGTGAATTTATTGTACGGAGTACCCTTTGCTCATTCATTCAAGGTATAGACATTTTCACTTTTGGCTCTTAATCTTTCGAACACGGTACCGAGGTATGATACTGTTCTAAGCCTTTTTCGGGGCAGATCTCCCATGTATTCTTAATCAATGAGTAAAGTTTCTATACGATACATCTCGAACAGCCAGACAAAGGGTTCAACTCGGACTTGTATCAAATACATGAAATGGGCTGTTGAGGCTTTTCGTTGAAACCATAACGACAACGTCGCAGAACATGCCCTCGGATGGTTGTGTAACACTTACGTAGTGTTCGTCCCGTCCACAGCAAGCATTGATGTTACTTTGACAGTGCTAGGGGCTATTATACCAAGTAGGGATCCTCTAGTTTCGCGAGGTAGAGAAATAAGCTGCTTTATCGTTTATTCTTGAGTACCACACACCCAGATTGTCTCCCAGGTAGCTGTCCCATCTGGCTGCAGAAACTCAGCTGCTGGCTGCATTGGCAGTTTTATATCACTATAACATTAACTCCTTGCAGAATAAGCCTTTGAACTGATTTTGGTCGGTAGACCTTACCTCATATAATCATATTTTAGCTATTCAAAAGTAGCTATATCAATTAGATTTTATGTAGGAAATGTCTGGCATAAAGAAAAAGTCCCTTGTGGAGTCCAGCTCGTTAATCCTTCCATACACTTGTCCGAGTTAGACCGACAATATGAATGAGACCTTCAATATAGGAATACTTGTCTATCTCTCTGGTAAGTAGTTGTGGTGCTTTTCCAGTACTTCTCAAAATGAAATGCGAACCCTCAAACTGGTCACCCCTGTAAGACTGACTCCCGAGGCGAAAGTTGCCGATTTTCCAGGAGACAATTTGACTACACACCATTATGGTACACTTTATGCCGACACATGTAATTATCATTATGCAGTTAGAGCAAGCAATTGAGGCTCCCTCGATGCAAATAATCAAGGGGTAAGATATAAACTCATGAAGTCCATTGCTCCTTTCTTTCAACTACGGAGAATGTACTTATACCGAAGTGAACAATGCTTTCGAAAAGTAGCAGCTAGAGAAAGAAATCTTGGATGAGATAGAGAATCGTTTCCTGAAGGCAATACTCTATTATATGATATATGAAAGTTCATCTGATGATAGACTGGCATTCGCAATGACCGCGGCATCGTTTTGGTGCTGATGCCAAGCCTTTGAGGTCATCGGAAATGGCATTGGTAATCCCTCCCCACCTCTGACCGACCACCTCTGACCACCTGTGTCCACAACTCACCAGGCTCACCATGGCATCCTGTTTGCTTCTAGCAGATGTCACCATTCAAATTCCTCGTCCGCGATCCTGAATATACTTAGAAATACTGAATACGGGCAAGATGGCTCCTGACAGAGGCGAAAGCTCTTCGAGTCCTCAATATCAGTCCATCTCAGCTTCGGAACATCACTCCACCGAACATGCAGCTATCCCCTCATCGCAAGCTCGCAGACGTAGCGACGCGCGCCGTTTCATTGCGTATCACGCCAGTGAAGGGCAAAATTTCACACTGCGCGGAATTTCTGTCGGGTTGGGCGTCGGTCTCGTTATATGCTTCTCGAATATGTATTTTGGCCTGCAGACAGGATGGGTTTCTAGCATGAGCATGCCTTCCTCCCTGATCGGTTTCGCCTTCTTCAAGACCATCTCAAAACATCTCGATTTGCCATTTACGCCTGTGGAGAATGTGCTGGTACAATCGGTTGCTGGGAGTATGGGGACGATGCCATTGGGATGTGGATTTGTGGGGGTAATGCCGGCGCTGAATTACATGTTGAAAACGGAAGAGTCAGGGCCAATATTTCTCAGCACGTGGAAGCTCATATTATGGTCTCTGGGATTGTGTTTCTTTGGGGTCGTCTTTGCGGTGCCTTTGAGGCGGCAGGTTATAATTCGCGAAAAGCTTAAATTTCCATCTGGGACAGCAACAGCTTTAATGATTGGGGTATTGCATGGAAAGGAGTCTACGGTTGAGGGACCGCCGGAGACGGTTTCTGCAATGGATCAGGAGTGCGAGGAGAATAATAGAGACGGTGAGGATGATCGGAGCGAGATCAACGATATTGAGGAATCAGACAAGGGTCAGCAGAGCACTTGGAAAGCGAAAGTGCGACTCTTGGTCATTTCTTTTGCTATTTCTGGAACATATACGCTGGCAACTTATTTCTTCCCTATCCTTCGACGTTTGCCTATTCTAGGGAACTACATGAAGTATACATGGCTCTGGAGCTTGAATCCCTCTTTGGCCTATGTTGGACAGGGCATCATCATGGGACCTGCTACCACAACACACATGCTCATAGGGGCATTCGTTGGATGGGGGATTCTCTCCCCTCTAGCCAAGAACAAAGGCTGGGCTCCTGGTCCCGTCAGTGACTGGGAGCATGGAAGTAAAGGCTGGATTGTTTGGATATCCCTAGCAATTATGCTGGCTGATTCAGTAATTAGTCTTGGTTTCATTGCTCTCCGACCACTTGCAAACCATGGTGGAAAGTATTTTATAGAGGCATGTCGCCATATTAAAAAAGGCGACTGGAAAGGACTGTTTCTAGTCCTATCCGGCAATTCTGAACGAGGATACGCTCCACTCATCGAAGGTGAAGAAGTCCACCCACCTCCTGAGGAAACCCAGTTCGGACCGTCTCTTTCTAAACAAGAGACGAAAGATCTCCCGGAGCCTGATGCCTCACCTGAACACTTAGTGAACGACAGCACAGTGTGGGTTGGTCTCGTACTCTCTATAATATTCTGCGTGGCAACCATCCGAATTGTTTTTGGGGAACTTGTCCCCATCTTTGCGACAATTATTGCAGTCTTCATGGCACTTCTTCTGTCCATCATGGGTGTAAGAGCCTTAGGTGAGACAGATTTGAATCCTGTATCAGGAATCAGCAAACTAGCGCAGCTTTTTTTTGCTCTTACAATTCCGCAATCAAACAAAAATTCCGTTTTAATCAATTTGATTGCTGGAGCAGTATCAGAAGCCGGAGCATTGCAAGCTGGAGACTTAATGCAAGACTTGAAAACCGGTCATTTGTTAGGCGCTGCACCTAATGCCCAATTCTGGGGACAAATTATAGGTAGTGCAGTCGGTGCAGTTGTCAGTGCTTTCATTTACCGTCTCTACACAGGCGTATATAAGGTTCCAGGAGAATTGTTCCAAGTTCCTACCGGGTATGTTTGGATTTTCACTGCAAGATTGGTGACTGGGAAAGGACTACCAGAGATGGCTGCGCAATGGGCATTTGGCGCAGCCATAATTTTCACTATTACAACCATTGTGAAAATGCGAAATGTAGGAAAACGATGGCACCCTTGGATTCCTGGCGGTATCGCGGTTGCAGTTGGTATGTCTTCTCCCGTTTTCCTCCTTGTCTATCATCTACTAAACCTCAAGGAATGTACAATGTGCCATCATTCACACTCGCTCGCGCAGTCGGGGGGTTCGTAAACTGGTACTGGAAATCGTACAATAAGCGCGAGGAAACTCCAATTGTGATTTTGGCGAGTGGATTGATCTTGGGGGAAGGTGTGGTCAGCATTTTGAATTTATTGCTCGCAAGCGCCCAGGTTCCGCATTTATAGTGCTATTTATCAATGGTTATTTGTTGAGAGAATATTCCAATGTCTCTGCTTTTCCGAAACTCTGGTCGTGATCTGGAAATTGCATCATATGGGATCATTGATAGATTTAGTAGTTCTGAGTGACGGGTCCTAGAACTCAATATATGGCCGAAGTGTTTCACACTACTCAAAAGACACTTGAGCAGCGTAGTCCTCTCAAGTCTGGGTGGAGTTGTGTTGGTCACCAATCTAGTCAGTCAACTAGACCTTAGAAGATGCCAGCGTTTGGGGTCATTAATCGGTTTTCAATAATTCCCCATGAAGCTTTGACGTTTGTACCAACTAATCGCGGCCAAGCCACGGCGTAGCCAATGCTTTCTTAGCGTTCTCCAAGTAGATCCTCAAGCGCCGTCTCGCAATCGAGACTTGCGGATCCTTATTTTGGCACCCTACTGTTTTTAATTTTTAGTTTAGATCTTGAGTCAAGTTTGCGATTTGAGCGGAGGAAAAGATGAATTTGAATTTGTTGCATTTCGCAATTTTTAGGGTGTGTCAGCTATTACGCTCTTGTGGGGTTATGTTTTTTTGGGAGTTGTATGCCTTTCACCGCGTGGTCTTTGGCAAGCCAAAGAATTGGAGTCGGCAAAATGATTTTGTCACAACTGCTTAAGTGGAATTATCTGTCTATTTCGGCTTCTCATGGGTTATACGTATTTGTAGAACATCTTCCTCCAGTCCATAACTCGCTCTATTAGGACCGGCTCGATTCTGAGTAGATGGTTGTCTTTTCTGCGGTATTGCTACAGTGCTGTTGGAAAGAACCCCTGGTTTGGTTTGTCGGCCGGCAATTTCGAATCATGAAAAGACTTTGTATTGCACAAAATCTTTCACTCTGTTGCAAATCGCGATGTTTAGCTGCTTTGGAATCCAGCCGCGCTAATACATTTTATAAAGGACCCCCCTTCTGATATCTGATCATCCTCTCTGAACTGCCGTCATCGGAACTCCTATTTCAAACACTCGTTGCACATCGCAAGAATTAGCTGCGTCTAATGAAACTAGTTGCACCCTGCTAGTATTCGCAATTCTTACTCAAACATAGCTGATTAAAACATACTATTTCGTTGCGAGAAACTTCGTATATCGTACGATTGTAGCGCTGTAACGCGAAGTTCAAGCCACCTCGCTAAATTCGCTTCGACCCACCCCCTTTCCGTCTGGACAGACTGTTAGTTCAACTATTCAGCCGTCCCCAGGCTGCTTCTTTACACACCAAGATAGTCCAGTTTTTATATCTTTAAATCAGAGTCCATCCAAACTCTTCTCAACACCGGTTCATTTTACGTTCCATTAGGCGCGAATCCACCATGCACTACCCGCCCACCAGTCAGCGGTACAAGGTCCGGCTCCGCACCAGTGTGAGAGCACAAGACCTGACCTCGCAATATCGAGCTCGATTTCGAGTTCGCATGTATCCATCACGCTACCCATGCCCTAAACAAGTGGTTTTTAACCCAGTTGTAAGCACCAGCACTCTAAAACCACTAGCTGACGCGACCGGTGGTCGCCACGGGAATTTCGGAGAAGAACTTATTAGAGCTAACGGCTTCAGCGGGATTGGAAGCAAGGAACAACCTGGTAGATAACTTATACGATCTTAACGACAGTCGGACTAAGCTACATTCCGTATTCGTCTTCTCCACGCTCGATGCTTAAGTTGACTTCGCTCAAACCCGCTTGCTGACTTGATGTAACATTGCGAAATGCAACGGAAAAGGAACTAACCTTAAAAGCCGAGCAAGGATGACCTTGGATGCCTTAGTATAAAAGTTAAGATGGTCGAAACTATGGACGGTCACTAAGATGTCGCTTCGACCAATTCTAGTTGTGTAAACGTCCTTTCGACCGAATTTTGAAGGGGAGTTACGGGTCGCAGAGATTAACCCGAAGACCATCTCAGCGCTACTGTCTGCTAACCCTGGCTAACCAGAAGTTCAAGACTTTGAGCGCAGCCAAGACGGGGCGAAGTACAGCGTCTTAGCTGTCATTCAAGAAAAGTTTTGATTATTGAATGAACTTAATGCCAAACAGAAAGCCACGCAGCAAGGAAGGACCTAAAAAGAGTCAACAAAACTTCAATTACTGTACCAAAAACGGACTAAGTATCGCGAAGTGCAACGAAGGGAAGTTCCATAGGTTGCAAATGATTTGCGCGAAACACCCTAGGAATCCTTGCCCGCCAACACAAGGGGCTCAAAAATAACTACAAAGTATGTTTTAAAGTGTCGGAAAGCTGACAAGGCCAACAAGTCAATCAAAGAGACGAACCAAACTAACGGCCTTTTGGTAGATCGTCAACATTGCAGAGTTCAACTAAATTTCGCGACGTGGAACGGTTTTCTTAAGAAGTAAATGATAATGACACTAAAGTATAGTATCAAGGTGCAGCCCGGTCGACCGCTCGGCGGAGCAAGAACGAAGCTTTTCTAAAGTGGTAGACTTAAGGTCTTTCAGGCCTAGAAGAAGTCCACAGAGTTTTGGCTAACAATTGCGATATGCAACGAGTTGTACCAAGAGCTGTATTTCCAATGATCTTGTCTAGCCCCATTCCAGTCTCAACATGGTCTAGAGAGGAGGTAGCCCTTGGCCATCACCCTTTAAATACAAAAGAGTTTTGACTAAAAATTGCGACTTGCAACGAGTTCTCCAAGCAGCTGTATCGACTACAAAAATGTGTAGAGCTGCTCCAGTTTTAACATGGGTTTAAGAGAAAGAAAACCCATGACCATTACCCATCAAATAGAAGAAAGTTTTGACTAAAAGTTGCGACATGCAACGACTTCTCTGAACAGCTGTACCAATAGCGCTACTATCGAGGTCCACTTCAGTTTTAACATGGTCTAGGTACAGAAGATATTCCATGACTACCACGCCTGTAAAGACAAGAGAGTTTTGACTAAAAGCTGCGAAGTGCAACATACAAGAGGTAGCACAAGAAACCCATACCAAAAAGGACATTCTCGAGGTAGAGCCCCGCATCATTCTCTTCAGCCTCCATTAACAAAAGGTGACTAGTCATCGCGACGTGCAACAGAATCAAATATGCACCCTCTAGGCAAGGGAGTGCCCAGGTAATCAGTATGATTCAAACTGACTCTACAGAATGGGAACCTGATAGATCATCTTCATCAGTCAAGCCATCTTCAACAGTCAAGTCATCTTCATCAGTCAAGTCATCTTCATCAGTCACCAGTCCGGCGTCCTTGGTGGCTTTTGACGGCCCATCTTATGGCTCTCCTACACTCGACACACTCTCTCCTGCGATGTATTTCGTCGGCAAAAGGCTGTGTACAGTACATTGGTGAAAAATAGGGTTATACTCTAGGCATGGGCAGAGTCGTGTCATCTATCGACATGGGCCCAAGTCTAGCGTATTCATGTTGACATTAGATGTGAGTATGAAGGAAGAGGACGACCGTCAAACTCGGGTAGCTCCAAATGTGATTTGGCCAAGAGATGAGGTGAGATGAAGTTGCAAGGTCGAGCTTCAATCATAGAGGAAACAGTATTAAACTGAAATCTCGAATTCTGACCTCAAACTTGCTTCTGGTATATTCCATCCACCAATTATAGAACTGGTCATTGTTTCACCTCCTTCTATTTCACTAGTTCCTCAATAACTCATATCTACTAGGTATTGTTTTTTTATGAATTTATGCATCACTGATAGTGAGCAATGATAACATTAAACCAGTATTGTTTAGATAAATACTTCAGTATAGCTCTTTGTTAAAAGTTGACCACCTTGTCTCTTGTAAAGAGATGAGATTTGTTATATTTGGAAGATATTATAGTCAAACGTACTAGACGGTTCAGTGTATAAGACACATCAGCTCTCAATAGCTTCGTTGCCACAGAGCCAGTTTGTTAAAGGGGGAGGAGAAAAGAATAACTGCCCATCTCATCTTCCGTATCATTTTACAGCTTGGTTATCGATGAAGGAAGGCACATCCTTGATCTAGACCCTCAAAATCAACTCGCCACTGAGTTCTCCTGCATGAATTAAGAGCATCATACAATATACTCGGAATGTCATGCAGTACTGGTAGTGAAATACAAACAATGCACTACTCACTTCAAGCAGTCGGTAGTCACTCGACCGAATTGGGATCCGAAGGCAAAAGTCTTGAAGTCTTCAGTGTCAAAACCTAATTCATATGATGCGGAGGCCACGCTCGATGATGTGCCCCTGCGGCAGACAAGAAAAGTGCCAGTAGATACATAGCTGGTTGTTTCCACGTTCGTAGACTAATTTCGCATGATAGACCCACAGTTCTAGGCTAACTAACGTATCAAGAGGGAGGAACAATAACAGTGATTATCTCCAGAATAACTGTTTCAATTGTCCTAAACTTGGAACAACCAAGAATCTTGCTGGAGAGTCAGAACAAGAAGGCTATGCACTGCCACTATTACCTAATGTGATATCCCTCTCTCCAAAGAATCTCAACACCGTCCCTGGAGAAAGCTCCGAGAACAGCCCTGGAGAATTTACTCCACATAGCCTCCCCAGAAGATGGCTAAAAATTGCGATATGCAACAAACTTCCTCTTTCGTTCAAAAGACAAGGTCAAGCTCATAAAAAGCCTCATACTCTCTTCTAGTCTTCCTTCAAAAGGAGTGAAAAGAAATAAGAGGGGCAGTAAGTGGACCAACCATCCCAACACGCATCAACTGTAAACCTCAAAACCCCAACCCCTCCATAGAACGAATCTGACGCCTGGACCATATTCGACTAAGCGACTGAGTCGAGAGAATACCACGAGACAAACAAGTCTGACTATTTAACTTTATATTTAAGCTTTTCCTCAACCCCAACGGTGGATATAATTAGACGAACTACCAACACTCGTGAAACCCAAAGTCAAATGTCAAGTAACAGGTGGACACGTCGGATTAAAATCTCCGTACGAGCGTAAAGACCTAGAATTGCGATGCTTTGATTCTTGTCCGTGCATACGTAGATCACTAGATAAGTAACAACTTAGAAGCGATAATATATGTTGAAATTATTACATATTGTACTTGTATGATGTCTGACAAACTCTCTCTACACAACCTCCCATCAGTCCAATCCCAGAAAAACTAAACTCTAAACCGATATACATTCCCTTCGGCCAAATCCGACCCAAACATTTCCGAGAGCCTAATTCTCGTGTCAAAACATCTAAAAGGCTAACCGAGATCTAACCGAGATAACTCAAAACGAGCCCTACGGCCCAAAGCCGACATGGCGTTAAAGTTTCTCGCAATAAATTCTGGCAAGGTGGCAGTGGCGTTTATAGGCTCAATTATACGACTTGATACAATCCCCAACCTTGGTTCCAAACGTTCAAACTTTCTTCAACCTGTCACAGGCATTGCAAGTTCAAAGCGAACTCACTTCTCCATGAGTTTCTCTCGCAAACGATGCCTTTTTGAGTTTAAGGGAGGTCGAAGATCAAATCAAGAAGTGAACATGACGCCACCAGACGTTTTGAAACAAACGCGCAACTTTCTAAAAAGAGCGGATATTTTCAAGATTATCTGCCATCTCATGTTGGACTTCATCTGAAAAATAAACGGTTTTGAATACACGACTACTGTAACGGCTTGGTATAGGAACATCTCTACTTTCCACGCAAAAATGACCATTTTAGGTTAAAGTGGAGGCCAAACAGTAAAATACGAAAGTCAATCCAGCAGACCCGAAACAGACTAGCAACTTTCTCGACGAGAGTAAGATTTTAATATAGTATGATCCCTCTCATCGCTTCTCCATCTTCATCCAAACACAAACTTGCTTTTACAAACTCAGTGGCTTGTTGGTATTTTCTTTTACGTACCTCGCTGCTTTGCCTTGTAGAACAGAATGAGTAAAAAGAGGGCATGTAGCAACGCCTACCCCTACCAAATATCCAGAATAGAGTGCGAATAACCGTGGAGGACAAAAAGCCATCACGGATATGAGAATTTCTAGGGAGCAGCGAAAGAGAGATAAGTAACTAGAAACATGCCCAGTAAAGTACCAAGTTCTTGAACCCAGAAGCTCTATATCATATTTTCACACCTCTCTTCCTATCCCAGGGCCTATATTAGTGACTCGTTAGTTTACCTCAACTCCTACCCTCACCCTCGCATTTAATTTAAGCACTATAGATGAAGCGTCATTATTAATTAAGCCTGTCAGACACGCCTTCTAGACGGCAAGAAACTTTTGTTCTATGACAGATTAAACTTGCCTTCAATCGTACTAATTTAGGGCCAAAGCGAAACAGGGAAATAAGAGTATAGGGGAAATGGATATTAGAGTTGTGACACGACTTACTGTATCCGAGGTCATTGGGGTTGGAAAATCTTTATCTATTTTTGGATGTCAAAAGGATTACAAAAAAGTCTCAACTTTCTCGTCCACTATGTCCTTTTACGCAACCTATTCCTTCTCATCTTCGTCGTTATCCAAACAACAGAGAGTTAGTAAGGATGTAGGAACTACGGCCAAGTTACTGTACCGTGGTAAATCGACTCTAATGAGGAGACAAGGGTTTGTGGGTGGAGTACGGAACTAAGCGCTTTACAGCCTTTCCTGCGCTTGAATGTACTTGATTCTTATACGAACTAGATTACGATGAGCAGCAGCTCCTCTTTTCTGTAGAAGGCTGAGTCCCTCAGTGGCTAGGAATGGTAGTCTTTGTACTCCACTCGCAACCCTGCACCAGCTGATCTCCTCCTTAGAGTCGATTTACCACGGTACAGGATAGGAAGACATCCACTGTTCGAAACAAAACCGTATAACAAAAGCCCAAAGAACTGCATATATCCACCTTTTTTGGGTCAAAGAAAAAGGGAGAAGCCTCAGAGCAAATTCACAAATTCAAACGAGTCAAAGCTTCCTCGAACACCTCCTGGCGGATAGAAAACGGGTACTGTGGCGTGATCTTGTCACTTGTAATAGCAGAAACCACATCGACATTTGTCGGTGCAAGATTATTTCCACAAATGACGGAACTACAGGCTGACAGAGGCCATAGTCAAAGTTATGCTGCCACTTTCTTCTGTCCGTCGGGGGAGCACACAGGAAGAAGATAATAGATATTTGGCTACTGCCGTATTATTTTCGTCCCATCTATTGGCTACCACCCCCTTCATGACTTACAGATTCGAGCCTCCAACTTGAACAAGAGGAAAGAAATTGTGGGGCTTTGTCCACTACCCTACCACCTCGAAGCACCCAGCTTTGTGATTTGTCTGCATACTCTCTTCTACCTTCCAGATTCGAACCGACAATTCAACCCATAAACACAAATCATGCCATCTCATCCTACTCTCTACCTATTCAAAGAGAAAAATAGCGCGCCGTAAAAAGATATGTACTCGAGTAGTTAAAGTAATTAATATACTTACTGTACTACAACCTCGTAAACCACACCCTTCAAGGTCCACTAGGCACATCCTAACACCATGAAGTACACAACCTAAATTCTACAGTAGGTCTCACCGCCCTCAACCACACCAGGCTCGTCAAACACCTTCCAAACTGCTCAAAGATATCTTTCACACCCTCTCATTCTCAACTCGACAATACTCGATTTTGTCACTATCCACCATCCACCAAGAGTCCACAAACTCCACTTGATCGATCTCTAGAGAGTTTCCAGCTTTATAAATAAGCATTTTCGTAGTTTTCACCAACATTAGCTAGGTAATGTGGAGGTGGAGTTACCCTCCACTCTACTCTCCAAGCACAGTGTGATCTCACAAGGATTTTAATACCACAAACGAGAACCAACAACACTTCATCCCCGCACCATCTGATTAATCGGTGTTCCTTTTTCTCTCGAGGGATTCCGCCTCATACCTGGACACCTGGTCCTAGAAAAAAAAACATTACAAAGCCCCCCTTAAAACAATACCATCCCACGACAAAAACGTCAAACAACTGAACTCCAAAATTTTGAAAGGAAGAGTCTGAAGAGACAGTATTCCCATCATCACATCAACCCAGCATTTCAAACCACAGAAGCCTGTCGTCTTATCCCCATTCAAGAACCTTGGTATCGTAGCCAATCCTTCAGTCCGCAGTCAAATCATACACAAACTTCTATACCTACACCCCACCACACACACACCACCAACCAAAACCCCAGAATCATCAACATTCAATACCCTCACCCTCACCCACGTCCAAAGATCCTCACATCCCCCTTCCCACCCAAATCCCTCCTCAATACCCCAGTACCCTTATAGTCAAATCAAATCAAATCAAGCTACAGTACTCCTACATACTTTCTATACCCCCTCATATCCAAACCCCCAAATCCCAAATACCATCTAGAGTCTAGAGCCCAGACGAAAAAGATACAGCAGCATGACAACATCCTTATTCCACCCGACCCAAACAAAACAAAACAAAACATAGTAGAACAGGACAGAACAGTACATCATCCCGCTAGATCCCCAGTCTTACCTCTTGAGTTGACGCACGAGGTGAGAGACGAGGGTGGGAGTACTAGTACTCTATACCCACCAAAAGATCCTTTACTGTTACACTGTACAGCACTCGAGCGCCCAAATCAATTCATACCAAATCTAGACCAAATCGGATTACCAATTGAACTACAGTAAATCTTACGAACGACCACTTCCCCTTCTACCACTACCCCCAAAAAACCCCCTCGCAGATCAACAACGCGCATAGTACTTCATGTTCAAAAAAGGGTACTTTATATTATCTACAACCACATTTATACATTATTGAACCCCCTCCTCTCTCTCAACCCCCGCGAGGCCACTCCCTATATTATATCCCTCCCATCCAACCGAGAGCTCATCCCACCACCCGCCCGCCACCCATCAATAGAAATACAGATCCACCTTTCCACACACACGCCTCCCACCCCGCCCATCTACGCATCTCCCCATCTCCCCCTTAGAACCCAAAACTATCCAACAAACTACTCGTTTCCGGCTCCTCAAAAACACTCGGCGGCGGCTTTCCCTTCCCCAGGCCCCCACCACTCTTCATCTCGCCAACTGCGCCCCCAAAACCACCGATCCCACCCTCATTGACAGCCGGCAAATCCGCAACCACAAGACTACTGCGTCTCCTCAACATCCCCCTAAGTCCAGGGGCACTTTGCAGCGACGTCGCAGTCGGAGCGGGAAGAAGGAACTCCCAATTCCTTACCAGATCCAGCGCGAGGAGATCGCAGCCCATGCGATCGTACAATCGTGCGTTGTGTAGCACAAACGTCCACTCAACTTTCGGCGTGATCTTCGAGGCGCCCCGGAGGGTCTGCAGCGTTTTCTGGCGGAGCTGGGAGTATAACACCACCAGAGCCGGGTCGTCGGTGAGGAAGAGTTTGGATTGGAGGTCTGGTGTTTGGGGCGTTTCGAGCAGGGTGTAGACTGGTGACTTGAAATTGTTAGGTTGTATTGGTACAAGAAGGGAGAGAAGACTTACGATAAGAGCTCGTACAGACATATCCCTTCGATGAAGCATCCAGAACGCCCAAGATGCCAACCACCGATTGCCCTCTTGTGCAGCGAGCGGTAGTACCTTGTCCTGCAGAAGTTCCCTTAACACGGGTCCTCGATCCCCTTCATACACCCTAGCCACCGCAATCGCGAGCTGGACATCTTTAAGTTGATTCAAGATCACGTTCACGGCATCTTTGAGACAATCCGCTAGCAAGAAGAAAGCTGCTGCATACTCTAATTCGCAAAGTTAGCAATAAGTCCACTTCGATGATATAAGTTAATGCTTGCTCACCATTCCTACGCTTCCCCAATAATGCGTAGGCATTCTTCATAGCAGCCGTCTTCCACTTCTTATCCTGGAAGTTGTTACTAAGAAGCTTAACAGTAGCAGACTGTTCCCGATTCCAAGCCGCCATTCTCCAAAGACCCTGAAGAACAGCCTTCTTCTTCAGGGCCAGGTAGAACAGTGTGCAATCAACGGGGTTCTTCATTTCGCTCTTGGTATATTCATTCCGGGCAATATTCTCGAATTGGGATTTCTGAAACCAGGTTATTAGCATTGACTTCCCAGTCAGACTTCACATAGAATTCCTACCAGGGCGATAAGATCCGTCATCCACATGAACACTCCACTCTCTCTGGCATTCTCCCATAACATCTTCCCATGGAATTGTCGATTTACCATATCTACTAGGATGTCCTGGCTGTTACTGTGATATGCCCAAACAATTTCTCTCCAGCTGATGCTGACTTCATTTGCTCTCCCTCTGCGCAGAGCAAGCTGTCGGAAAAAAAGCATAAATCTAGCCGCATTGTCGTCCATGGATCTCCGTTGTTTCTCAACAATCGAGACACATTCGACAGTATCAGCTAAATGGATTTGCTCTTGTCTAGAGAGTTGAGGCAATGCGACTTTGGCGAGCTTTTCGTTGATCGCAAGTGCCACCTCTTCTGTGACTGTTTCCACTTCATCCTCTTCCTCCGTGAAATTGCTAAAAGCCTTTGAGCCTTTGTTGGTGGTCGTCGAGGACGATATGGCCTATACTAGTTGGTAATATGTCCATAGTTTCAGAATACGAAGACGACTTACATTGGACGATTCATAAAACTCCTCCAGGTCCATCCCCAGATGACTGTCAATTACATCACTCTCAACATAATACTTGAGCGTCTTGTACAGCGCAATCAAAACTTTCTGAACGAGTGCGCTCTTCCCAGCCAGTATGCATTGGCCCAAGAACTGGGGATGATAGACTGGAAGAGGACCGTTTAACCTGGAGACAACTTCGAATAGACTCCAAGTTTTCTGGGGTGCAAGTCCAAGATTCGTCACCACAGGAGCCGCAGTATCAGCGGCCTTGTCAAACACAAATAACTGATTTCCAGCACCAATTATGAGATTCCCCCCTCCCAACCATGTCGAGTCGCCAATGGGATGGGGTGTGAGGTCTCGGATGTTGAACTCTCTAATAGCAGCCCACGCGGGACCTTTGTGTAGGTAGTCATAGCGCATCTGTGCGAGTAGAATAACCCTGTACTGAAATCCTACAGCTAGAATAGACTGGTCATCCGGTGTCGATGTCCAGTCCAAATCTCGAATCGTATCCTGCGATTCGTAGTCTTCAGAATACTCGAGCTGAGCTCCCCGAACATCCCAGATCGTCAGTTTGGATCTGGTAGAATTCACGAGTGCGGCTTTTCGGATGGAACTACCGCTCGCAAGTGCGGGTTCGCTTATTCCGGTATCGACAGAACAGGTCTCCAGCCAATCAACTTTCTGATTCGCGAAATCAATCTTCGCGGTCCAGGATCGAAGCATACCGGAATGCGTATACGAAATAGCAATATCTCTCGCGAAAGTATCGAGAAAGCCAGAAATCACTGGAGGCGATCCAGCAGGGTCTACAGGCAGGACATACGAAACATCATCATCGATCCCAAGATCGAATTGACAGAACTCCCTGATGGAGGGTTCGGGAAAGCCATTCTGTTCTGTAGGCCCACGGCTTTGAGGAAGTTGAACCTCCCAGACAATACCTTTCATCTCGGAGGTGACGGTTGCTATGTGAGCTACAGGCCCCTCTTTTGTAACTTCAGGAAGCATGAGAATACAAAGTGGCTTGCCCTCAACTGTATAGGAACATGTTGCAAGGCGCGTCCCCTGGGCTTTTCGGGTATCCCAAAGTACAACTTTGTCATAATGTAAATATATGACAAAATTGCCCTTTCGCATCACACAGATCCTATGGATATGATCGCTCTCGGTGATGATACTCTGGCGTTGTACAGAAGTTCCTCCCTCACGATTCATATGTTTCCATACGATCCCTTCATTTCCATTCGTCCTTGAGACCACGGCTCTTCCACTGACATTTCTAATTATTTTCCCAACCGTGGAAGCATGGCCAGTCCACGTTGCTTTCGGGGTAAACCTATTTTTCCTAGGAGAAGGATCAAAAAGATCTGCAACATTACTCTCAAAGAACTCTATCCTGCCATCAAAATGATGTACCAGTAGATTGAGACCTCCTTGATCGGGTTTGCAATAGTTGTGGAACTGGACATATGAAGAGTCCTCTGTCAGAAAATTCGGAAGCCCAATTTCCAAACCGTCCACATGAGCAACGTTGAAAATATTCGTTGTCTGTCTTGCTTTGCAACCTACGTTTTCCAGACCCCAAGCAGACATGTTTCCCAGCCCATCAAGCACAACACAGATCTCTGGGCTTCGATTTGCGACCTCAATCAAGTGCGCCAGGGCATGGTCTTCCTTCTCATTCAAAGCTGCTCTTGCTTGAACGGCGTGTTCGGTCGCGAGTATAAAGTCCCTTCCATCAATAACAAAAGCGTACCGAACGCTGGATATTTCCCCCATCCCAAGTCCTCTAGGTTGTATGGATTCCTTCAAATCAATCTCACCCCAGAGCTGCAAGAACTGTAACCCATGCGAGTCCGTCGGTGCCCAGATTCGTAGCTTGTTATCGGCGCAAATCGTGTAGAGCACATTATCGATCGTCTGATCAAGGTGATATGGTCTTCTCCAGTGTATGCTCGTAACCGTCGTAGGATGAGGTAGGTAACTAAAATCGAATCGCGTATCGTCCGACCCATAAGAAAGCCTCTTCCATATCTTTACCAGCCTATCGCATTTCCCCGTCGAAGCAATGAACACCGAATCGTAAGAAAAATGTGCGAATTTCACAGAATTCGCAAGTTGGCGTTTATATATCAGAGTCGGCGCATCGTTCTCGCCCTCCAACGTCGAGTACAAAGTCAACCAAGCCCCTCCCACCAAAATCTCCTCGGCCACACCCCAAGATAGCGTCGTCGTCTCATTCGTATTAGGCGCTTCAACAGAAAAACTATGTTGCAAAGCCCACTGTAACCGTCAGCCCAACACCACCCTCAAAACCCAAGTAAAGACCTCCATACCTTCAGCACCCCCTCATCCTGCCCATAAGGCCTGTATATCCTCACATCGCCGCCAACACACGTAGCTATCTTCCCCGAAGCCTCATCGAACGCAATAGCGTCAAGCTCGGCCTCGTCATCATCGTATATCGTTTGCAGAATCGTCTCCGGTCCAGTCAAGACAACGAACGCATTGCCAGTAATATAAGCCTATCAATTCCCAAAAATATTAGAAAATCCCCTTTTTTTCTCCTGTAAAGAGATAGAGGGGATGCAAACAATAATCCGTCGTCCATCCCAACACCCCGTACAGACAGCTTGGAACTTCGCCCTAGGCCTTCCGGGGAGCACAGCTCGCATACTACCAAGCTCCGGGCATCGCACTTTCTCCTCTTCAAAAACGGTCGCGGTCCTGTTGCTGCTGCGGGTGGTTCTGCGGTTTCGTGGGATATATGGACGAAGTAATTTGCGTTCAAAAGGTGTGAATTCCTTGCTGTCACCGTAGTTGCTTCTCAAGACGTTCTTGTTCTTGTTCAGGTTGCTGGTGTCTGCCTCGCCGTGACTTCTGAAGCCTCGTGCTCGTGCAAGGGGTCGACGGGCCAATGGGAAGCTCCAGCTCCAACTCCATCGCCGTCTCTCTCTCGAATCCTTGGGATCTGGGCGAATGACGAACATCTCACCCATTTAAGGTGCCCTTCACAGAAAAGACCAGAACCAGAAAGTGGTCATCGAGCCTTTCTGAAATTTGGGGATCTGGGGCAGTAAAATCCGAGACAAAATTTGCTATCTCGATAATCGCACTGGACAACGCTGTACCTGTACGATCATCATCAACCTCCACTCCTCTCACGACACAAGCCAACCTCCACCAAAAAAGCGGCACTGAATGGTCAACGGCCCTTTAGGTGCCTTTAGGTACAATACTACCCCTCATATGACTAACAATCACGACGAAAACAATTTCCTGCCTGGACGTCATAATTACGCTTTTCCTCCAGCTCAACGACACGAAGCAACGCAACCTGCCAACCCCTCAACTACAAAATCTACTATCCTAGTAGATTACCCGGCAACTCGTACACAACATCGCAACAAGTATACACTTACACAGTGCTACTCTATCTTCACGTTCTCAGCAAGATAATCTTATCATTTGAATTATTCTTACGTAGGTAGAGCTAAACATTCAAGCTCATCTATGCCGCTGCAGTATCTCTCCACAACGGCCGGAGGAATCGCGATAAGCCATTTCCTCCAACCAGAGAATATAGCTACTTTTCCTCCCTTCCCATTCGTCCAACCAAAAAACGCCTACATGCATCTATTCGATGCCAAAACACGAGGGTATCCAATACTAATCCAAAAAAAAAAATCTAATCTCCAGAAACGCCCCAATGCAATGCACCTTTCCTTTTCCCTAATCAATCCCGCGCCAGGTCCCTGATGTGATATATACAATCGTGGTATAATGCTGATTCATGATTCGTGATTCTTATTTCGTGATTCGTTATTCGTTAAAATGATGCCTCTTCGATGTCCTCGAAGCCACTGATCGTTCGACTACTCATTCCCAACCGGTTTCGGCCCCGGGCGGAATGAAGTTGTCCGTACTGTGCTCGAAGTTGCCGTTCAAACGGCGTGGACAAAGGAGCTTTGGGTGTAGTAGAGAGCTTGCGCCGTCTTGACGGTGTATTTAGATATCCTGGTATCCTGGGAGGAACCAGGTCCTCATCGCCCTCTCCAAAGTCAGACCAGGTTTCCATTCTTGCGTCTGGCTCTGCAATCTTTGGTGTTTCTGGTGGTCGATATGTTCTTTCTGACATACTCAGAGGTCGTCTGCGACCTCTATCTGGTCTCAGAATCTCAGGAACACGCAGTGAAGATCTTCCTGTCATGTCGAAAGCCTCAGTATGTCGTTTCCGAGGCCTCTCAGTCATACTGAAAGGCTCCTGAGCCGGTCTTTTTTGTGCCTGGGCCTCCCCAACCATACTTGTCATAAATGCTCTTCGATCCTTTTGCGGTTCGCGTTTGGTTGGGGAAGGTGGCGGTGGTGGTCGTGGCTGGCTAGCTGCTATTGCCGCCTGTTGCCAATGAGTAAACATCTGCCGGAAATGCTTCTTTGCATTCTTCTCCCTTATATCAACTGCGTAGTTCTCATCGGCTTGGATTCTGAGAGTTGCAAGGTTCCATTTCTTGAAGGCCCGATTTTGCCGATTCTCTTCGTAAATTATTTCTGCTTCATTCTCCAGAATTTGATGTTCATCAGCTCTGTATTTCCAAATGGCCAAGTGCTTCTTCAATTGCTGTTCGCGTGCCATTTCCTCCATATCCTCAACATCAGCAGTTCTGGCTCTCCATTTGTCAAACATCTCCATTCCACGGACGATATCTTTGTTGCGCAATACTTCTTTTGCTTGCTGGTTGAGAGCCATGACTCGATTTGCCTCTTCACGCCAACTGCGAAAGAATTTCCTTGCCATATTAAGCTTGACGATTCGTTTGACTTTAATGTAGGCTGCCTTTTGTTTCTCGCGGACCGAGAATGCTGCCGCTGCTCGCCATGTTTTCATGGCCCTCGAAGCCCTGAAATAGTAGGCTACGTCATCAGCCCTCGTCTCAAGCCCCCGAACATGCCGTGCCTGTTCCTCAGCCCGTCTAAGCATAGTTGTTATTGCCTCCTCCAGTAATCTTGAATTTGCGAATTCCACAGCTTGCGCTTCCATTTCTTTTTGATAGTCCATTCGTGTATACCAAAGACCCAAGATGGTGTTTAGGGCCTTTTGTTTGGCGTATTCGTCCGCTATGGCTTCTTGATCGAGTCGAAGCTCTCGTGCATCTATCGCTTTGTCGGCCCAATTTTGAAGGATGCCTCGAAGCTTGACTTCCTTCCGTGCCCTTTGCATCGTACAACATCTTTGAGCAAGAACTAGTTTGTACATGCACTCGCCCTTGACCCTGGTTTGGACCTTGTCTGCAATCGCCTTCTGTCGCAGTCTATGTCGCCAGGTTACGACCGCCTCCTTCAAAATCTTCTCACGATCGACTGCAGCGGCTCGCTTTTCTTGCTTTGCTCGATGCGCCCAGGTTGCTAGTACACCACGAAGGAGCCGATCTTTGACTTCAAACTGTACCGCTTGCTGCGCAGGTATAATTCGGGCCTCTTTTCCCCAGTTTCTGAGCGCATTGCTAAGAGCCTTGGTTCTGTAAAATGCTGCAGCTTGCGCCTCTTGTCGTATACGTTTGGCCTTTCCATCTTTCCAGACCAACAATGCGTTGTGTGCAATCTGGTCGCGATGATTTTGCTCGACAATTCTCTCACGTTCCAACATTTGTTGATGTTTAGACTGCCAGCTGTAAAACATTCGGCATTTCAACCCATCTGTATAGAACTCGTACGCCCTGTTCTCCCATATCTCGTGAACCCATTTCCAATATACTTTGTGAGCAAGATTCTCTTGGTAAATTTGGATAGCTGCGGAATTATGGCTGTCGACTTCCTCCTTGCGTTTCCTCCAAACACCAAAGAATTTCTTGAGTACGTTCCTCTTAACTTTGAAATCATTGACTGTGGTGATTTGATGCCAAGCATTAAAACATCGAGATTCAACAATGTGATTTCGTGCAGCTGTTGTCCTTGCGACTTGCTCCTGGGTGTTATTCGCCCAGTGCTGTAGCGCTTTCGATGTAAGATACAGATCTCTGGCTTTTTCCGCGCGTTCCTCCAGATGCTCATAAAATATTTCACTTTCTTTCGCTTGTCGCCTTTCAATCGAGAGGGCACGCCAACCTGCCAGAGCACCAGACATTAAAACGGTTCGATCGTGTGTATCCGCCACTCTCTCCATCTGTAAACGGCGATTCCTAATTTCGAGAGCCCTCTCTCGCCATTGCTGTACCTGATGCTTCGCTGCTAACGCTGAATTATATTGAAAGACTACTGATGCTTTGATGTTCATCATATTAGGAGTCTGTTGGTCCGAATCGGCAGGCTCTTCGGGCTCTGCAAGCTCGTTTGAGGTTATAGCAGTGTCGCTGGGATCTGGAAACTCGTCGGAAGGTGGGAAATACGAAATTGGCGGTGAACTACGTCGGTCATAGGATGTCGAAGTCTCGCTCTGGTGTGCCCCTACACTGTCAATTGTCATATCAGATCTTCCACGGAATCGTTTCGGCTTCGCCTGGTGAGTATGGAGCCAATCTTCGACAAGCTCGCGCGAGTTTTCTGCTGGGTGCTCTCTCATTTGTTCTGGTACCGGAGCTGAGGGTCGCGACCGCTGCATTTCCCGTATAAATTCCTCCCGTCTTTCTCCATTCATATCCCCATCTGCGCTTTTGGTCTGGCGAGTCGATGGGTTTTCGGTGCCCAAATCCCACTTGGTACTTTCAGAATTTCGCCGTGGTAACTTGTCTGAGTTCATGGTGTCCTGGTACCTGTCCTCGTACCTCGATTGGATGGTCCCGATCGTCGGATTATCTCGTCGCATAGAGTTTTCTCCCTCCCACTCCTCGCCATACTCCTCGCGATAATATTCGACTATGATATTCATCTTCGCAAGTACCCGCTCAAACTTTTTCAGCATGGTCTCAGGACCTCGTAACCCTCCGATCTTAAACAAGACGCGAGCATATCGATTATCGTGATTTGGATCTCTACCAATGCTAGGAAGAATCTCGTAGTATGCCCGGAACAATGCGAACGTGTTCAGTTGCTCGCGATACGGAAGTGTTGGGAAAAGTTCCATGGCGCGTTTGACCATCATATGGAGGACTTCGATGTCTATCGCATTATCAGCCAGCTAGTATAGTCAAACACACGAGTACGTACCTTCATTGCTATATTCTAACCCCCTATAAGGGTGCCCCTCCTGATAGAGGGATCCTGTGGCTTGCATATCGAACAAGGCATTCGGTGTGGGGATGACGATCGGTATTGGTGGTACTGTCGCAATTGGATTGAAGAGGGTAGGTAGAGTTCAAGACAAGCAAGTGTATGATTCGACTCAGGAAGCACGGATCTCAGGAAGATTCGATGCGACAAGAGTCTGAACGGAGACAATGACCAAAAAGCAAGAAAGCGTCCGAGGTTGAAGCGTCTGGAATGAGAAAGGAACGTCGGGTCGAGAGCTACGCGCGCGTTATCTGATGAGCACCCGCCTCGTACCCAAATCGCAGCGCGACTTTTCGGGGTGGCTGGGATCAGCCGCGCTAACAATTTAAGGTTTCCGTTGATCGCCAGAACCTTGCACCTCCCGTTCACGCCTCTTCTTCACATCAACACCATCACTAACGCTCAATATCTGCGATCACGTCCTTCCAAAAGCCCTCAAAATGCCCAGCCGAACGAAGCCGATTGAAAAGTTTGCGCAGGCCGTGGCCAAATGCTCCGTCGAGGTGACTAATCTCCCATTTCTGCCACGTGCGGTCGTCTAATCTCGTTGCGTCAGAGTTCGGCGTATGGGAAATGCATCGTGGCGGATTACAATTCGGTGCATAAGGACAAGTGCCTGACGGAATTTCTGCGGCTGAAGGATTGTTACATGGTGAGAGCGTTGGTTGGGCTCAATTCACTACCCCTGCTAATATGTGCGCAGGCTGCTGCCAAGCGGAAGTCATGATGAATTCTTTGGGCTTGTGGAATGAACATAATGTACAAAAGTATATCATTGCGAAGGGCGTTCAATTATGACGTAAGAATGCAGTCTTCAGGCAATGGAAGACTAATGGAAGACTTCCCCACCACCACATCGTAGCAAAATCAATAGACGACATCAAATTCCTCATCTTTCGATCGCCTTTGTCTTTCTCAAAGCCCGCCGAGTTCATGGTTCACAGTGGCACTGCTTTCAATTCTAAAGAAGCTTTTTTTTTATTGAGCAAAAGAGGTTTACATGTCGCTTTCTAGGTAAGAGCACAAATCATCCCATCGCAACCCCTCTAACCACCAATCAGATCTTCATAGCTTCAACAGTCTCAGCAAGAAGACTGCATTCTGAATCTCTTGCTCTTCCTCCAAGATAATTCCCTCTTGCTTACCCTCGGGAATTTTTCCATCAACCTCCGTAACGACATGCTGATCAATCGGTCGTCGCAACGCCTTCTCGATGACCTTGCCCTGTTCCACGAATGCCTTGTCGAGTCCAATCTTATCAGGATCCGAAAGCACCTTGTACTCCATCTTCACATCGTCCGTGGGCTGGAGGCCAGCTTTCTTTCGTAGTCTCTGAACACGATTGATGATCTCTCGAGCCACTGCGATATCTGCAAGGTCAGCATAGATCTCAGCGTCGAGGATGGTAAGGACGTCTTCATCCGTGTTGGTTTCGAGATTCTTCGACGATTCGTCATCTTTTAAGCCACGTTTGACAACGAGATCACCCTCCTCTAGCTTGATGCCATCCACGGTTATGGACTTGGTCAAAACGTAATCATGTACTTGATCACTTGTCAGTCCTGGCAGAGCCTTTTTGACCTTTTGTACGTCTTTCTTGAGTTTCTTCCCGAGAACTGGCCAATCGGCATTAACGCTGTATTGAACATTGTACTTGGCTTCATCGGACGAGAGAACCAAGTCGACAATATTCAGCTCCTCGGTAATGTATGCTTCCAGCGACTTGATGTCTTCCAAGTAAACTGGGTCTGCGTGAATGACGATCAATGTCTTTAAAGGTGTCTTGAGACCAATCGTTCTTCGTTCTCTGGAAACTCTGGCAAGTTCAATGACACGCTGCATACGGCCGACACGTCGCTCGATATCAGCATTGAAAAGTTCCTCTCTCACATCTGGGAAGTCTAAGAAATGAACACTTCTTGGATCTTTTCCTTGAAGCTCTTTGGGGATATAAGGCAATAGCTTTTGGTAGATCAAATCGGTGATGAAAGGTGTGAATGGTGCGAGACCTCTGACAAGAGTGTAAAGGACTTCGAAAAGTGTGTTGAGGGCATGCTTGGTGTCTTCCACACCGAGCTCACCCTTTAGGCGCTTTCGGTTAAACCGAATGTACCAGTTTGTAGTGTTGTCAATAAGATCCAGTAATCTGGGGACAACAGTGTAAAGTCGGTATCCTGCAGCTAATTAGTACAATGAATAGTCGGAAGGATCGCAGTCTACTTACCAGCCATCTCCTCGTTGACAAATTTGAGCAAGCTTTGACAGCTTGCGAGAATCCATTTATCCATGACGTTGGTGTTGGTAGCTTCTGCCTTTGGATCGAAGCAGTAATCGACGTTTTCAATTTTCTTCAAAAGAGCAACCTGTCCATCGAAGAACTTGAAACTGTTCCAAAGCGGTAGAAGAACTGTAGCGACAACCTGCTTAACACCTGCTTCTTTGAAACGTAAAGGTTCAGCTCTCACAACTGGGGAATTGATGAGATACAGGCGCAGTGCGTCTGATCCGTATTTGTCCATTACAATCGATGGATCCGGGTAATTCTTGAGTCGCTTCGACATCTTTTTACCATCTTCCGCAAGTACAATACCATTAACAACGCAATTCTTGAAAGGCGAAACGCCAAAAAGATGTGTGCCAATAACAAGCATAGTATAAAACCAGCCTCGTGTTTGATCAAGACCTTCAGCGATGAAATCTCCGGGGAATGACTTTTCGAATGACTCTTTGTTCTCGAAGGGATAGTGTTGACTTGCGTATGGCATACTTCCGGACTCGAACCAACAATCGAAGACTTCTTCAATACGTTTCAGTTGTCCCTTACCCTGCTTACTGGGGATAGTGATGTGATCAATCTTATCACGATGAAGATCAGTCAATTCACCAGTGTATCCACTGAGTTCTTTGAGCTCTTGAACACTACCAACGCAGACCTTTTCCTCCAAATCATCACTAACCCACAATGGAATAGGGGTACCCCAATATCTGTTTCGGGATACATTCCAATCTCTCGCATTTGCGATCCAGCTTGCAAACCGCTTTTCTTTGACAAAAGAGGGCACCCAGTGCGAACCTCCAATATTCTTCAGCATTTGAGGAACAATTTCGGGGATTCTGATGAACCAAGAGGGCACAGCTCTGTAGATGAGGGGGGTATCGGAGCGATAACACATAGGATAACTGTGTCGAATTTGTGAGTCTGCAACCAATCTGCCAGTGCCTTTCAAGTATTTAATGATGGCCTTGTCAGCTGCCTTGACATGAACACCAACGAAGTCTCGTACAACTGCCGTAAAACATCCTTTGTCATCCACAGGGTTTGGGGGTGGTCGCTTCTCGCTAATGACGCCGTTTTCCATGGCGATGTTGTAATCTTCCTCACCAAACGCCGGTGCTTGATGAACAATACCAACACCACTATCGTCTGTGACATACTTGGCATTGAAAACCTTGAAACCAACGTCTTTGAAGTCCTCATAGAAGTAGTCAAATAATGGCTCATACTTCCATCCTAGCATTTCAGTTCCCTTGAGCTTCTGAACAATCTTGAATTTCGCCTTCTTGGGGTCCTTGTAAAGTGTTCCCATAAGCTTCTCTAGGAGGATATAGTGTTTGCCGGAAGCTTCGTCGAGGATTTTCACGTACTCGAAATCCGGATGTGCTGCGAGACCGGTGTGAGATGGCAATGTCCAAGGTGTTGTTGTCCAGGCCAAGAGGCAGGTATTTGGATCTTCCAACAAGGGAAATGATACCACGACTGCTGGGTCGGTGACATCTTGGTAATTCTGATTGGCCTCAAAATTACTCAAGGCGGTGGTGAGAGCGGTCGAGTAAGGCATAACTCTATGGCCCTGGTAAACACCGCCCTTGTCGAAGATTTGTTTGAACACCCACCACTCCGACTCCATGAACTTTGGATCCATGGTTTTGTAATCATTGTCGAAATCGATCCAACGACCGAGCCGATCAATGGTTGTTCGCCACTCTGACGAATATCGCATCACAATAGCTCTGCATTCCTCATTGTATTTGGCCAGCCCAAGCTTCATAACCGCATCTTTTCCAGAAATACCGAGCTTTTTGTCAATCTCGTGCTCAATGGGCAAGCCGTGCGTATCCCAACCAAATCGTCTCTCAACGTGGAAACCCTTCATTGACCAATACCGTGGAATGATGTCTTTGATGGTGGAGGCAAGAAGATGCCCATAATGGGGAAGACCGGTTGCGAAAGGAGGGCCATCGTAAAAGGTATACCGTGGTCGCCCTAGGAGTTTGTTAGATTTGTTTTGGAGGGGGAACAAATAGCGGGGTGCTGCTACCTTCAGAAAGTTCAACCTATGGATTGTTAACGATCGCATTTCACAACCATTTGCCCTTGGATTTTCTAGCGCATACCTGTGTCTCGAATGCCTTAATTTCCTTCCATCGCCGAAGGACTTCTTCCTCTTCCTTTGGGAAATCGATGCTCATCTTGGCGAGGGAGGGCCCGGTGGCCGTACTATGAAGAAAGGCCCCGCGCGCGGAGGGTAATTGTCAATTTACGTTGGGCTCCTGTTAAACAGCCTCAGAATATCGACCTCAAGTCCTAGGTTCTCGGTGGGGATGTGGGCGAGTCGAGTTTGCGCCGTCGCGATGTAAATAATTACCCCGCGGTGACTCAAATTATGACTGGGCAAGGAGGGAGGGCATAACTTTTGTGCTGATATCAACCATAGTTTAGCCGAGTGAAGTCAACCTGCCTGCCTCACTGCCCTCCCTCTTACTCCGTATTTTCAAAAAGCTCCCTCCCCCTCCCAAGATAAACATGTGCACTTAGACACCAAACATTTGCTTCTTCATTTCTTCTGACTTGTCATCAAGTGATGTCTACTAAAGAACAAAAGCTTCTTTTCATTCCAATTCCAGTTTCTTACTTTACAAGGCAAATCCAAGGTCTACTTTACGAGACAAACTCCTCTTCCTCATGGATTCAGCGTCAACATCTCCGTTTTTCAAGCCAGAAATATACATTACGAATCAGAATCAAAGATCCTTCTCCAAAATCTTTGAAGAAAGAACATCAGGCTTCAGATTTATAAAAAGACTTGCACAGCATTGCCCCCCAACAGCTCCAGGGCTGAGTTGGATGGAGCGTCTCCACCCAGCCCAAGTCTGGCGATCAGTGGAGTAGTTCAAGAAGGATATCGTCACACCATCCAGTCTATTTTGAGTTTCTGCTGAGCAACTCTTCGTTTCGGATTGTCTAATTTTTCCAACTGCTATACTATATTGATTCACAAGCCAAACCGCTGCCTCTTTTCGCAGCTCCTCTGTTGTTTCAACCCCAATTGCCCAAGTGGGCGACGAGTCCCAAAGTCTCTTGGTTTGCTAGCTTCCACATCGATGCCCTCTGCCCTCGCATGTCTATCATCCCCAAACTCCTGGCGCGTGGTGATGTCATTTTTCTCCCTGGCTATCATAGCCGTGATCGACCGAAGCTAGCATCTTAAAGCCGTAATATCATTAAAAATTCGCAACTTTCAAAGTCGAATGATCAATCCTCTTCTTCATGTTCCCCTGTCTCTTCCAACAGTCCAAGCACGTATTCTTCCTTTCACTGTTCCCATTTTCCTTGATAGTTTCGTAGCCTCACTTTCTCCTAGTTGTTCTGGGCCAGGTTGTCCGTCCAAACTCATTCGTCCAAAGTTGACACTCCTGTGTCCTTCTCGAGATGGTGGCATGGAATGTTTGGTTGTTGTAACGGGAGTTTCGAGGGACTCGCGTGATGAGTTGGACGCACGGGAAGATTGTGGGTTTCTCTTGCGTTGTGCTTCGTGGGCGTCCATTTCTGAAAGGATGTGGAACAAGAACTCATTGGAAGTAGGAGTACGTTGAAGGATTTCAGGACGAGTCACCTCGCTTCCTTCGACAAATCTGGATAGGCGACTAGGACGTGTTGGTGAGGCGGCAGCGGAAGATGTAGTGGATGAGGCATTGGATGAAGATGTTGATATGGGCATCTTGATAGGTGCTGGTGCTTGCACCGTGGCGCTGTATGGATTTGAATATGGCATATTGAAGAAATATGGTGTTTGTCTTTTGTTAATGGGTATGGCTGACGTTGTCGCTAGATCTTGGCAGACACAAGATAGCTGCTCGTATGATAATGAGACGGCGGGTATGCTTCTTCAGTATGGATCAAACTTCTAAGGGATACAGCTCTTTCAGCGGGGGAACATGATGGAATATATCCTGAAGGCTGCCCAGCAAGTCACACACCATCGGAGCTATTTGCCGGGGCCAGGGGGAAGGGGCGAGGAGGAGTAGCATGAGCATGGGACAGATGGCATACCCCATCCGCCTTGTCTGCCCATGACGGAGTTTCGAAGGGGATACGACCCCTCCGAAGTGCCCACAGCGCCACGATTGGGTGGTAGCGAGGACCCTGCAGTGGTTCGTGAGGAGACCAGGCCAGTCCATGGTCCACTGTAATGACTGTGTGATCCCCCCGCAGTCTCGGATCCACAGGCTTGTCACTCGTAAACCAACGCAGCCACTTGGATGTCTTTTCCTAGGGCTTCCTCGTGCCGATGAGGATTCATAAGCAGTCATTACCAACCTGCTCGGTAGATGCTAATTGCGTACATACTCGAGTCCTATATAGAATATTAGCCATATTGCATCCGTCACTCCCCTCGGCCGGCGGACAATATCAGCGAATGCCGAATCCTTCACTTTAGACTCCGTCTTTTGGTGTTCGGTGTTTGATGATACATAGCCTTTTGCAAATTTTACTAAGGTTATTACCATACGGGCCCGACGCCGGCGACAACTTTATTTTCGAGGTCTCTCTGTTCTTATGCGACATGTCAAGAAGACCCTTACGCGTAAACATGGTGATTACCAAGGGATCAGGGTCCTTTTCAGAGAAGACACTAAAGTAGGTACTTACTGCACTGTACCACCAGGGTGGTGGTAGCAACAGCTAGACCTGTGCGACCTTTAAGCGGATAGTCGGGTGGTGCTTCTCACGGTTCTACCGGGCCGTAAGAAAGAAACACAGCATGAAAAGGGACAAACTAACAATGGCAGGAATAATGACTTCATTGTTGTCGAGCGACAGTACAGATGACATCTTCCTTCATGAAGTCGAGGGTTTTCCCCCGTGTATGCAGAGGTCGACGTGTTCTCCCTTTTCGATGGCTACGAGTAGCGAGCTGCGATCCCTCGCTGCCAGATCGCTCTCCGTACGTCAGTGGCGTCTGTATCTGGAGGGATGTTCGTGCCATGCAGTCAGGATCACCTTTTTTTGGAAGCGAAGCGAAGGGGACAGGAGGGACGGAGGGGAGGGTTCTCAGCGCTCAGCACGGACGACCTGGAATTTGTTTCGGGTCCCAGCTTGGGTCTTTGGTGGTGCTTCAGCCTTACGATCCCGCGGAATATCCAGATTCTACCCAAGTACTGCTACCGCGGTCTTTCCGATGCTATTTTGGGAGGAGGAGGAGGATGGGGACGAGGACGAGGATTGGGATACGGTATGGACGTACTGTGAATCGTGCTGACGGGTTGCCTGGGCGTGTTCCATGGCTTTTTCGTGGCTCCGTGAGCTTGGGTCCAGAATAGGCGGCAGGCGTGTAGTAGGAAGGCATGCCAGTTGAACGCGCCATCGCTGAGGGAATTACAATTGACGCCTCGCCCATTGCCGCAGCATAAAGGCAGCTAAAACAGTTTTCGTACACTCATCGACCTCAGCGAAGGTGACTGACTGACTGAATGTATGGTTTCAGGCCCCAACACAGTACCGTACACATATCATCCGCAGACTGGACAAAAATCCCGACTTCGCACTGCCATTACAAGGGATTACGCAACATCATCCTGAGGTAATATAATCACTGAACAGAGGGCTGCTATTTCAGATTGTTCTTTTCTTTCCATGGAGTCTGCACGTGCTAGTTCATCCCGGGATGGAAAGCTAGTATCTAGCTCTTCCCGGGCCTTCATCTAATCCCACATTGCGTTCTTAAGAGTATCTTCATTTCCCCTCTGCCTTATTACGTAAATATACTGCTCTCAACCTTGTTAAGATTCCGGCGGTGCTCTATGATGTATAATGTATAATGAAATCGAATGGATTTCATCTATTTCTGTCTCTTATCATTGATTGAACTTTATCCCGTGATATCTGACTTCCTCTTATCTGTAGAGCACATGTAAGAATAAGGAGAACCTTTTGATTCATTTACTTCGAATTGTAGCATGTAATTGGTTTCCAGGTCAGCTTTGTGATACAGTATCTAATGAGTGGACGGATGGCGTGTATGTGGGTAACGATAGATTACGTTGTTTCCATGGCTACGGTAATGCTGTCTGAGAGTAGGTTACTTTTATTTCTCGTTGTTGGGATGACCGACAGTAGTGAGTTTCACGATACCAGAAAACCAAAGCTGCTCAGGAGGTCCGGATTCATTATCTATATCCCGCCCCAGTGATGAAAGATTATGGAGCGGAAAGTGGACGACAGGTGAAGCTCATTTGATGGAGGCGGGAGTGTGTTGTAGCTACGGCCTCCCCGTTTTGTGTCCGCTGGTCTTCTATGGATAACGCGGAACTCGGAACAGAGAGTCACTTGGTATTCGGCTATTCTCGTCTGTCTTCAATTTTCTTTTACGACTAGGAAGAAAATTGGTGGAATGAGAAAGTTGATACTCTGTTGGTGGTGTCGGGATAGTTTTGCAAGTTTGGTTACTTGTAAATAGATAAGTTTGGTTTATGACAACTTAGCTACCATGTGAAGACCCTTGATCTTCTTGTGAGTCGTGGTTCTGCTGACCATGTCAATGGCTGCTGTGTAGTACCTATTTGGTGAAGTGACCAACATGACTGCATCAATACCAACATGAATTACAAGGAAGCACTGGATTAAACGGTATCACGTATATTGTGGTTTAAAACCTACACAAGTGTTGGTTGGGGGGTGTGTTCATTCTTCTTCATCGATAAGCGATGGAACAACCGTTCATTCCGCTTTCAACCATCAAAAAACTTTTTGTTCATGATGGATTTGGATACTATTCAAGCACACAACAGCCATGTACAACTCTTACCATCAAAACGACGAGCAGGAAGGATCGCACAACTCGATCATAATAAATGGTATCCATCTCCCAACAACAAGCATAATTGCAGAGCTTCTCTCCTAATACAAGATAGGGTATGGTCCGAAGACCAACTAAGGAATTCAGCCATCAAACCCGTCGCAAACCTAGGCACTGGATTCATGTAAGCTACTCGCTTCTCAAATCTCTCACAGCCAAGTACTGTAACTGACAAAAAACCAGCGAGTACAATCCCCCTCAATTCATCATCGATGCCCACAAAGAAGCACTAGAACATGTGGAGTATAATCAATATGGTCCTCAATCCGTACGTCTATTCTCTAAAGAAGAGTGGGACTGGAACTTCAAGTAACCTTACTTCGCTCAGGGAATGCCGCTTTTCAAACAAGCACTCGCCAATGCGTACTCCACAAAACTGGGCTGGGAAATCGATCCTGTCATGGAAGTGAGTGTCCATACCGGGGCTTCTGCGGCTTTGCTTAGTATTGTGATGGCTTTTGTGGAACCGGGTGAGGAGGTTATTCTTTTGGAGCCGGTGTTTAGTGCGTATGTTTGTTCTTTCATTTCTTTGATAGTCAAAAGATTTGAGTTTGGCTTTGCTGATGGGAGGAAAAGGTATACAGCCTATGTGAAATTTGTGAAAGGGATTCCTCGGTTCGTGGCATTGCATCCTCCAGCCGGAGCGGAGAAGGGGAAATTGTATGGGAATGAGTGGGTGTTGGATATGAGTGAGCTGGAGGCTGCTATCACGTCGAAGACTAAGTTATTGGTATGTTTATTTACTTATTTGTCCTGTCGTTATATATATAACTTCACTACTTAACTACCCCAAAAGATCTTGAACAACCCGTAAGTCAAACCCAATCAACCTCCCGGAAATCATGCTAAAGTTGACTCCTGATAGTGATAAACACAACCCCACAGGCAAAGTCTTCACCCCCTCAGAACTCCATTCCATAGGCGACCTCTGCGTCCGCAACTCCATAATCCTAGTCTCCGACGAAGTCTACAGCCACCTCGCCTACACACCAACCTTCACATCCCTCGCGAGCATTTCTCCCTCCATCGCCGCTAGCACCATAACCGTTGGTTCCATCGGGAAACTATTCAATTGCACGGGCTGGAGACTCGGTCACGCCATCGGACCGGCTTCACTTATTCATCCCGTTCAAGTGGCGCATTACGTGCTTTGCTATACGACTTCTGGGCCGCCGCAAAAGGCTGAGGTTGAGGGGTTTTTGGAAGCGGATGGTGGGGTTTGGTGGGAGGTGGATCGGAGGGAGGTGAGGGGGATGGTTGATGGCGTTTGTGGTGTTCTTGATGGGCTGGGGATTCCGGTGAGAAAGAAGTGATTTTTTCGGTCGAGATGAAGAAATGTTCTGATTTGTTGGTTCTGTAGTACGTTTATCCTTCCGCTGCCTACTTTGTCCTGGCACACGTCGATGGAATCCCGATTCCTGAGGGTTTTGTGTTTCCGCCGCATATTGCGGGTCTGTCTAGGGATATGAGGACTTGTTGGTTTTTGATGAATGAGATTGGGGTCGCTACTATACCTGGCACAAGTAAATTTTATTTTTATTAAGAACCCCCCTCACCTCCCCTGATATTCCACACTCCTCCACTGCGTCTGCTGCGTCACCCCACTCCCCCTATCCCCCACCATCCGCCCAACTCCCCCTACTCGGCGGCCCACTCGCCTGCAACCCACCATTCCCATACCCAGCACTTCCTTCCCCATATCCAGCACCACCACCTCCCTCCCCATACCCGCTCGCATCCCAAACTGTCTCCTCCCTCAAACACTCCGTACTCCTCTCCCTTAACGGCACAGCCAGAAAGCCCTCTACGCTGCGCGCCTGCGCCTCCTTCTTTTTCTTCTTGGACGCCCGCAGGAAGTACCATACGAAGAGGAAGAGCAGGATGAGGCCGATGAGGCTCAGGAGGGTTATGAGGAGGATGAGGTGGAGGGGGTATTGGAGGGGGATTGGGAGGGGGG